TGACCGACAGTATTCATACTGTTCTGGATGAGCTGGTGGCACCACACAGGTCTTGACCGGATGCATGGATGTGTTTTATGTCTGTGAGATGTTTTTCTAGCATTCACTGACTTGAAAATCCGACACCGCGAATCAGCCTACCTGACCAACAGGAAGAGGAAAATCATTCTATGCGCCATTGACAAGATTTTTGATCGGTACGGAAAATAATGATTTCAAGATCAAAGAAATACAGTGCGACCTGGAGTTCAAGAGCCTGATGGATCCTGTCAAGAACACATGGAGCTAAGCTCAACATGGAGCGGCTCAGACTCACAGTGGTCCCACTGAGCGCAACATCCGAACCTTGAAGAGAGCGCATCCGCGAGCCTGGCATTCAACCCCGTTCATGGTGATCCAAAGGTGATATTGTGGAATTGGTGTACGATGTTAACTGTAAACTCAACCTCTTCCCCGCGCTTGATGGAATCTCTAAGTGTATCCTCCCAGGCAGATCTTGGAGGGTCGGACCACAAGCTACAAAGATATTCAGTTCACTTTTGGAGCTATTGTCTCGCTTCCAACAACCAGACAAGCTCAATTCCATGGAGCCCAGGCGATTGGATTGCATTTATCTCCGTCCATTGATGGACAACCACCAATGTGGACACAGTGTGATGGACTCGTCACTTTGAGGTGATCACGCGACAGATGTCCGCATCCTGCCGATGCCTCGCTCAGTCATTGATGCGTCAAAAAGAAGGCTACGGTGAGGTAAGAAACCACTAATTTTTCACAACCGTGACTTTGTGAATTTTTACCTGTAGGTTTGCCTGCGAGGAGTGGATGGTGTCAATGGAAATGAGAGCTACCTCCAAGTCTATGGAAACTCTTCGGACGAAGATTCAGTGGAATCCAGGAATCAGATGAAGATTCTAAGGATGGGAACGCCCAGGGCTAGTACCAAGGGCACAAACAGTATGCCACAGACATTGACTCCGATGAAGAAGGAGAAAGGGATTCCAAGAAATCCCAACAAGCACAAGCCAGACACCCCTACAGTTGAAGAGACGGCACAGCAGTGGATACCAATGATGGAAACCTCGCTGGGCCAGCCAAGGCTTCCAAGCTTCCCCGAGTTGGAATTAGACGTTCAGCTCGGATTGCTACAGCCGAAGCAAAAAAGGAGTAACCTTCGTCAAGATGACGAAGCGAAGCAACCCATACTGTATGAGACAGAGACAAGCAAGCACCTAGCTTTGTTCATGGACTCCTGCAATCACAGAGTGCCACGCAGAAGTCAAGATGAGAGCAGCCATGCCAACAGCATCTTCTACCAAGGGTCTGAAAGTGTGGGGCAACAAAGCCAGAAGGCGGCGCTCAAAGAGATGGACCAGCTACACAGCAGAGTTTGTTTCAGTCCAGTCGACCAAACAAATGCAGTGATTCTGAATTGAAAAAGGCACAAATGGCACTCATGTTTGTGCGTGAGAAAAGGGATGGCACGGTCAAGGCCCGTGCAGTCTACAATGGGAAACCTACAAGGGTGTACAATCAGAAAGAAGATGCCAGAAGCCCAACAGTTTCACTTAGGGTTTGATGTTATCCATGTGTGTCGATGCATCGAAGATAGGGATGTGATTCCCTGGATGTTCCCAATCGTTCATCCAAACCCATGCCAAAAGTTAAAACAAGGTAAGACAGGGTCTCATGACCATTGAGGGAACCCTTGCAGATTTACTTGTCGAAATTGATCCTGAACATATGCCTCTTTCCTAACATACAAAAAAGGGACGTCCTGTCCTCTATGTTGTCGTGGAGAGAGCCATTTATGGCATGGTTTTGGCAGCACTTCTTTGGTACAAGCTATTCAGAGGGACCTCGAACAAATTGGATTTGTGTTCAACCATAACGATCCTTGTGTGGCCAACGCGATGACCGAAGGCTACAAACAAACAATTCGATTCCATGTTAGATTTGATGTCAAGCCACAAATGAAGTTGGTGAATGACCGGATTTGGAATGGTTCAATGGAAGGTATGGTACCTATGGAGCAGTCAAGGCAACCCGTGGTCCAAGCAATGACTACTTGGGGATGACGGTGGACTTTCCGATCCAGGCAAGGTAGTCATTGACAGATTGACTATCTTAAGAAGATGATCTTGGATTCCCGGTGGACTTCGAGCAAATGAAGAAGGTGTCCAGCGCGGCACTGCCGATTTATTCAGTTCGGTGATGGAGCTGCTTTGGACGACAAGACCAGAGAAATCTATCACACCAACGCAGCAAGCTGTTGTTCGCGTGCAAAGAGCAAGACCAGATGTCCAAACACTGACAATTGTTCTCTGTACACGTGTGAGGAACCCACAGTTGATGACTGGGGAAGTTGATTCAAGGATTGAAGTTCCTCGACCAAACAGTGGAGGACAAGTTGATACTCCACGTTGATGATATCCGTGTCATCACTTGGTGGGTGGATGCATCATTTGCAGTCCATCCTGATTACCGTTCCCATACAGGAGGAGTCATGTCCTTTGGAAGAGGAGCGGTGCTTTCTGTATCCGCGAAACAGAAGCTCAACTCAAGAAGCAGCACTGAAGCGGAGCTGATTGGTGCAGACGACGTCATGTCTCCAATGTTGTGGGCAAGTTGTTCCTTGAAGAGCAGGGGATCGTTGTGAAAGACAACATCCTCATGCAGGACAACAAAAGCACGATCATTCTTGCAGAGAATGGCAAAGGCAGTTCGGGAAAAGAACTCGGGCCATCAACATTCGTTTCTTTTTTATTCATGACCAGATTGGAAAAGGCAACCTTAGAGTTGTGTACTGCCCAACCTTGGAAATGCGTGGAGATTTTTTCACGAAGCCCCTTCAGGGCAAGCTCTTCCACGAGCACAGGGCTTTCATCATGGGGCATCCACCCCTTGTTTGATTGCCTAATTTATTTTATTCGTTCCACGGTAGCCACTTAGGGCACCGTGCAGGAGTGTGTTGGAGGAAATATACCTGACACCTCTTTACTACTATTGACTCGTGTATTAAACATCTAGTCCGGTTCGCATGCATATTCATGATGCAAGGAACCAAGGGAGTTTTAGGTCTAAAGTGTTACGGGGGTCCTTATATCCAATTCAATCACAAGAATTGCTATGCACCACCAGAAAATCCTCACTTTTGCTTTTCAGCTTAATCTAAAACCAAATTACTCCCCAATAAGCTGCAGTACAACAATCAGTCTCTTGTGGTGTTGTTTTCGTGTTGTTTCGAAAGACCGACAGAGCATGCATCCAGAGGATTTGAGCGAGATAGTGAAGCAAGACAATAAAACCGAGGTCATCCCATCCGTATTCAGTAGCCACAGCCGCAGAGGTACTTACCGCACGCCGAGGATATAGCCGCTTTCATCGCAATCCTCCGAAGACGAGAGGTACTCACCGCACGCCGAGGATATAGCCGCTTTCATCGCAATCCTCCGACGACGATGAGTGCGAGTACGAAAGAGGCGCTGGCTGGTATCGACCACTATATCCGGAACCTGTACTCCAGTGGACGGTTCCCCAAGGTGGACGACAACGGCATGGTGTTCTTGTGTTCTTGGCGGACGTGCCTCTGTGAAAGCTAGGACTCCTCTAGTGGTGGGGAAATTGGATCGGCATCTGCAGAACCATTTCCCGCAGGGAGCAGTCCACGGAGTCACATCCCCAATTATGAGAGCCCTTGCAAAGGAAGGACGAAGCTGCAGGCCAGTCCCAAATTACAAGTTTCTTCAAACCCGGGAAGGTCATCGACAAGCTATGGAAGGCAAAGGAACAGTCTCTAGCAGCCATGGAAGTCGAGATCCCAGCTTTCACTCGAATTTTCTTCTTCATGCCTGAGATATTCGACCGCAGCATCCTGGAAAAGCATTCAAGGTACACGTGCATCGAACCAACGACAGGCAAAGAGACCAGTGGACTCAAGACTCCATGCCCCCATTGTGGCACCAATGAGCATGTGTTTTTGGTTGTGAGAAGTGGCCTGAAGCAAGGCCAACACAGAACAGTTGCTTGCTTCAGGGGTTGCATCCCAATCTACTGCTTTATCTACAAGTGTGACAATAATCAATGCAGTGGTGGAAAGGAATCCCCTGATAGTGTGGAGAAGGTGTCAACCGACACATTCCATGGCTACAGCCCACTGGTTTACCAACTTGGTGGTTGGGCCCCAAGGGGCCCAATCTTTATGGTTCAGAGCCCCCTGCGGGGGCTCAACCTTTATAGTACTAGCTTAAAAAAATTTCGGAGCAAGCGTACTTCCGTATCAGTACTAAAAGTAGAAAGTAGGATTGGTATATTGGTACTATAATAGTATTAGTAAAACAATTTTAAAAAATAGCTTCTTTAGAAAAATCATTTATTCTGGGGTTTTGAAAATAGATCTAGACTAGCTTGAAAATACAACTTATTATCCTTGACGCATCCACTTTATTATGAAAGGGTCCTACTTCCTACCGGTACTCAGAAACCTGTTTGTAGATTTATTGGTTTTGAAGAAAATAAAGAAGCTCATGACAGTTCGAAGTACTAGCAAGTACTGTACAGAGAAAGCTGCATGATCACGCCACATACGAGCAGCTTCGATTTCAAAGATTCAAACGCGTGCAGGGTTTTCTCGTACACTTCTACGAGAGTTCGCGTAGAAGTGTACCAGGGAGCTTGGCACGCGTTTGCATGAATAAAATCGAAGCTGCCTGTACGGTAAGAGTGCTGCCATGGCATGACCGCTGTCTCCATGACCAGCCGTTTCCCGTACCGGTACCTGTACCGGTACCAGCAAACCAGCTGAGTTGTCATGGTCCGCCTACTAGTTAGTACGTGCTGTACGGTACCAGTATTCAGTTCGATTGCTTCAAACTTCAAAGAGAGAGAATCGAGATAGAGGACAGAGCTCAAACAAAGCTAAGCAAAGAAGCGCAGCAACTCAGCAAAGCAAAGCAAAGCAAGCCAAAAGAAAACTACACTGAGAGGTACGCTACGGTACGATGGGGACGGAATCAGAAGCAAACCATGTCAAGATGGGAGCAAGCATTGGCGCTGTGCCCGGCGAGGCAACAGGTACGATGGGGACGGAATCCAAAGCGGAGGACGTCAAAGTTGGAGTTGGCCTTGGCCTTGGGGCTAAGCCCGGCACGGCGACACCTACACCCAATGTTCCACCGGAAAAGGCGAAAAGGCTCACCGTGGTCGACGCAAAAGCTGTGACTTTCATGCCGACCATTAACCAACAGGAAACTGCTATTATTAGTGGTGCCCATATCGCCCCCACCCTGTCAAGAGAATCTGTCCCCACGACCATGTTGGAACGAAACCCCCTTGTCTTGCCAGTCAGCCTGACTGAACCAGGGGCCTTCCCGACGGGAGGATCGTCGGGAGAAAGAGAACGCCGAGAGAACATTGATGCTAGCGTCCTGCAAGAACACGAGCGCACAGTGCAACCTTTGAGGCGTCCGGGTCCTCGATGTGATTCTCAGGAATTGGTCGTGGCCAATCGGGTACTCGAGGATGATCCAGTTGCTATAGAAGAGGGTCTACAGCGCGCACAGGAAGTCGACGCTTCCAATGCCGACGATCACGACAAAAAGTTGCAAGATAAAAAGAAGGAGATATTGACCAAGGTCTTGGTGGGTGGTATCCTCTTTGTCGCCCTTCTCGTCGTTATTCTAGTCTTTGCACTCGCCGATGGCCCTTCTGATCCTGTCACAACTCCCAACCCTACCGCCGCAATCACACTGTCACCCACACTTTCCCCCAAAGCATATGTCCTTTCGCTGCTTCCTCCCGATCTCATTGCTGATACCAACGATCCTACCCATCCTTTGGCATTAGCAATCGAATGGATTTTACAAGAAGATTGGACAACCATGAAGGATTCCAGAATTGTACAAAGACTCGCTCTTGTTGCTTTCTACTTTGCAACCAATGGAAATCGATGGATCAAAAATGAATCTTGGCTCTCTCAGGATACTCATGAATGTGATTGGTATGCCGTCAATATCACTGCACACAGAGATCCAGTCACCTGGTCAGACCCAAATGGGATTTTCTCCTACCGCGGTCTGGCCAATGTCACCGAGTTTCCTTGCGAACAGAGACCCGACGGAGAACGAGTCTTTACTCATCTTTGGCTTACTACGAACGGATTGGAAGGGGCTCCACTTGATTTCCTGCACTTGCTAAAGTCCCTCAAGAGCATTGTGCTGGGCAAGAACGAAATATCCGGGTCACTCCCCAGCACATTGGGGTTGCTCACAGATCTTGTCTGGTTGGACATTTCTCCAAACGCTGGGCTCAACGGAACTATACCCACGCAGTTGGGGTTGCTCACCAATGTTCTTGAACTTTACCTCGGCACCAGCCAACTGAGTGGGACCGTGCCGACGGAGCTAGGTCTACTGACCAACCTGGAGTACGATTTGGACCTCTCTGAAAACCCTCTCACCGGCTCACTTCCTTCCGAACTTGGGGCCTTGAGCAAGGTCAAGATTCTGGACTTTCGACGATGCGGAACTCTCACAGGAACTATACCAACTGAGTTTGGAGGATTGGAAAAGGTCCAGGAACTTACCATCCATCGGAACTCTCTCACTGGCAAGCTCCCAACAGAGCTAGGGCTGCTAACAGATATGACTTGGCTCTTGATTCCAGGGAATACTCTTACAGGAACCATTCCTTCGGAATTGGCCATGGCAACCAGCATTACTCACCTTTACCTGTACGAGGCTGCTCTTACCGGAAACGTCCCCAGTGAACTCGCTGCAATGCCCAACATGGTGTGGTTTCTCTTTGACAGGAATTTTCTCACAGGGTCGATTCCAACTGAAGTTGGACTCCTGGGCGACACAGAAGATGTAGATTTCCAACATAATCTCATGACCGGAACGGTTCCTTCGGAGGTGGGGCTCCTGAGCAATGCCAAATGGTTGTCTTTGGGCGACAATCATCTGTCAGGTTAGTACTTTCATCCTACCAACACTGGCTGCGGTGCAGATCGAAAATGCCACCCATTGGAACTGGTATGTCACTCACTGACCGTCCCTTGTAAATATGTTCTGTAACCCATTGATAGGCACCATTCCAACAGAAGTCGGATTGATGCACCGAAACTGTACTCAGCTTGGTTTTCGAAACAACGCAGAGCTCCATGGACGGCTCCCCTCGGAGATTGGGCTGTTGAGCATTCTATTGGGACTTTATGTAGAAGGCACTTCACTCACCGGAAACATTCCAACAGAGATAAACCAAATTACGTCTGATGGAATGGGTCCCTTGGTTTTCTTCAACATTTCAGACACCGGGTTGACTGGTACAATTTCGAATGACATTTGTCGCCTTGGCAGCCACATCAATGAAAACAATACATGTCCATGGTGGAATGGAGATTGTCCCAAGTTTGATTTCACATGCTCTGAGAACCTCTGTGGCTGTGGGAATTGCACACGTGGTTGAGCAGGAGCTGGAGGGAGCCACACAAACCTCTGCGGCTGTGGGAATTGCACATGTGGTTGGGAGCTGAAGGGAGAGAGAGATGGGGAAGGGAATCAATCAAGAAAACAAGCAATAGTTGAAGGATCGAAATGGACAATGAACAATCGACGTGTTTTGCATGTCAAACGCAGCGATTGGGTCAATTCCCAGTTTGCCCTAATGACTACACACATTACTCTCATTGAACTACTAAGACTGGGCCAATAATAGGGTCGGCTTTGCCGTCTGTACGACGTTCTAGTACTACTTATTTCGATCAGAACTATCTAGTAGGCTAGTCAGAGCCACTCAGGGGCCAACTACAGACAATGTTTGAGAGCTGGCACTGGCCAATTAATTAATACTATGCTTTCCTTTTCCAACTTTTAGCTGTATCCCATGCTCTCCAGAACTCTCACACTCAGAAAGGTCACAAAGATGCTATTGATGTAGCTTCCATACCGGTACTATGGTACGGTATTTCAAAGAATGGAGACTAGCTGGTAGCATCATAGTTGTGGATGAAATCATCAGCCACCGTCCATAATAAGGAACTAGAATGAAGCAAATAACGGCACCTTGTTGGGGCCTCTTGCGAATTCCTTCTTTCAAAGAAATCGACTCCAAAGCAATAGGCATGTTAATTGCATTTTGTGGTACTCGAATGGTACGCTGCTTCCGCTACTGACGAACGATGGCTGGAGCAAGGTTTGTGGCTATTTGTGTTCCTGGCAGTTCGTAGGTTCGCAATACAAGTGCATGAATCCATACTGAGCTTGCTGTGTTTTCAGCTACGAAAAACTCGAAGTAAGGTAGCGTACCGGCATGACCACACCCATTCACAAGAGATTTTCGTCGCCATCTATACACACACCCGACGCCACCGCAAGTCTTCATCGGGCCAGCAAACCTCATTACTTGCAGGCAGGTGCTGGTCCTACCGTAATGATCTTGCATTGCTTTTTTTAAAGCTTGGTTTTGCTGCTGGGAACTAATAAGAGGTGCGGTCGTGCTTCCTTTTTCGCTCGGCCTCTCCAATCCCGCATTGCACCAAACCCAAACGCGGAGCTCCGATGTGACCGCCCCATGGTTTGGACAAGGCTGCACTACAAGCTAAAAATGCTCTGACTGATTCAGAAACTTACGAACAACCAAGGAGGATTGAAACGACCATTCTTGGAACGGTTACAACCCGTTCGGGAGCCGTCTATTATGATGAATGGGCCCTTCGAAGAAACATGGTTGATCTGGTGTATTCTAGGCCAATGGAGCGAATGAACTCTTCTTTCGTTGGACTAGATAAAACTTCATCATGAATTTAGGGAAAGCCTACTTTTGGGGGAGCTATAGCAGGCTCAAAATGCAATAAAGTTAGAACAAGACAATAATTGTATGTTACGGGTACGAGGCAGAAGCGAGCTTTGTTCCTGACCATTACTGCTTCTCAGTGATAGCCAGACAACCAGAACTACCGCCTCCTTGTAGCTCTGTATGCAGCCATACACCTTGGTACTTTGTTTGGGACTTGCTAGCTAGCTGTTTAGCGGCAGTACCAGGTGATAGCATATGCTGGCGTATGCTGGTGTTGGCTTCAAGCAAACAAGACCCAATGCCTCATTGCCATAGAACAAAGCTAGCCAGCACACCGGTAGGGAGGAAGATTCCATGCATTGGGCTTGCATTGGGCTTGAAAGAGGACGAGAAAAGTTTGTTCTACTTTTGGCTTCTATTTTGTTTTAATTTTGCTTCGTATTCTATGGTATCCGGTTGAGTCTATCTCATATGTATGAATCATGTGCTGGTATGTGTTGCCAACAAAGAAAGGGCCTGATTGAGTGTTTCTCATTCTTCCGTTGCTCTACTGCTTGTCAAAACCACTCAAGCGGTCCAATGATCTTTGGTATACCAAGTCTACCATCTGACTTCGCATGTCCCGAACCGAAGAATCGTCTTCATTTCCAAACTCATAGATGGGCATCTTCTCTGCAGCAGCACCCATCTCTTGATTGGGGTTATCACCGACCACACCAAGCACCACAGGGCTCTGGTGGATTGGTGTCGTTGTTGTGGGCGATCGACGTCCCCAGTGCTTGAGGGCGGCAACAGGGCCCACAGTAGGAGCCCTCATGAAGCTAGCCACGAATGCCAATCCTTCTGAAGCGGGAATAAGGGTGGCCAAGGCTAAGAGAATCAAATTGCTGAGTCGCATCATGTTTGCTTGCTTTGTAGTGGTTTGTATTGTGGTTGGTTGTGTGTTTTCTGTTGTTCAAATTGTGAGCGTGTTATCAACCCTCTTCCCAGCCATCGCCGAGTTGGTCGTTTCAAGTTTCATCAGACTCGACTCAGTCGGAGTGACTGAATCTTGTGTGCAAACTTACATGGGTGGCCAAAGATTGCGAGAGCTTCAATGTGCTTCGGAAGTGCACAGCCAGCAACCTCCCATACTACCGTACATTGTTTTTTTGCGCTGCAGGATATGTACTCACATGTAGCTACTCCCAAGCAGACCCAATCCCAGGCGCGAATGAAAAGTCTCCCTGCAAGATCTATAATAGCTAGTACATGTAATAGACTAAAAATTTGGAGGTGGTGAGAGAGAGGTGGTGAGAGTTGGTGGATGCTGATACGGCTACTTGTCTGCGAGCAGGAAGTCAGCATCAAGCATCAATGCAGCCAAGTACGGAGTATTGCCGCAGTCATTGCCAAAGAGAACAAGTACAGGTAGATTGAAAAACAAAGGCTGTTGATGGTTCCAGGTATCAGAAACCTTGGGAAGCGCCTCTCTTCCAAGCGAACTGATGACGATTTTTCTCGGCCAGGCAGCCACTGTATCGTTCATTGTTTCTTCCCGTCATTACAAGACTTAGTTAGATTCAAGCTTCGGTGTGGATACCGGTTCATGTACTAGTATGCATAGATAATCCACCTACTGGTACTCTAAACCCCCGTTGATCACTAGCTAGCTAGCTAGTAGTAGTCTACTCGAATGCATACATGTATCGACACAGTATTACGGCGACAGCTACTAGTACATGTACAGTACAGTACGCTGTATTACGGCATATCAGTACCGTACGGTAGCTGGAGCTGGACCTGTTGTCTCTGCTGTGTTTCGAAACGGAAGCCTCATCCCTAACTCACGAAAGACTTCAGGCTGTCTGTCAAAACAGCGGACGGACCTCGTCTGGCGATTGATTTGATTTGAATATTGGCGCGATAGCATGCGGATATTTCGGTGCTCCACACTCCACAACCCCGATACCAAAAGAGATCAGGCAAACGCACAAACGCAACAAAGGTACTAGCTAGTACTAGTAGTCGCTGGCCGCCTTCCACATCAGCTTGTCAACCATGAGAAACGTGTCAAGATCATGCATGGCGCTTCTTCTTTTGGCGTTTGCCGCAAACTGGATGTTAATGTTACGGCCGACACCCCCTCCAGGAGAAACCAAAGCTCAAGCGGACATCCAAGTCCATGACATCCAAGGTTGCCTTGGTGGCAACCGGACATCTAAAGATGCCATTGTCATGATGATTCAGAAGCACCATAGCACCTACGGTGGCCACACTGTTGACATTAGTGGTCCACTGCTCTCTCTGAAGAAAGCCTACCCACAGGTCCACAAGGCAGATATCTTGCTGTGGCACGAAGGTGACTTCACCTGGAATGATATACCTACAGATAAATTCAAGGGCATGAATGTGAGACTCTGCAATTTGAACCATGCTGAAGGGGTTTGGGGTCCTCGTCCCAATGCTTCTGTGCCAAATATGCAATTCTCAGTGGGATACCGAAATATGATCAGATTCTATGCTGTTACCATTTGGAATGTTTTGTCTGATTTGGGGTATGAATATGTCATGAGGCTTGATGATGACTCCAACTTTATGTCACCCATCCAATACAACCTGTTTGATGCATTGCGTAGCCAGGATGCTGTGTACGGTTACAGGCAGGAATCACGAGAGTGCGACAATGGGGGTTTTGGGGGCTTTGTGGATCAATATGTCACAAGCAATCAAATAGTACCAAAATTTGGTGCTTTGGATGAACCATACTGCAACCAGATGGGCCAGTATGGGTACTACAGCAACTTTTTTGTATCTCGCATTGCCTGGTGGCAACAACCGCAAGTGGCACACTTCATCCAGACATTTGACGAGTCAAATCTCATCTATAAAAAACGGTGTGGTGACCTAGTTTTCCAGACAGCTGCTCTCAAGCTGTTTGCCAAACCAAGAGAAGTATTGAAATATGTGGACTGGTCATATGCCCATGTGACAGTCAATAATGGCGACTGGGCTTGGGGTGGCGTCTCTTTTGGCACCGAAGATCCCAGGAGAAATACACGCCAAAAGATGAAGGCATTTCAAAAATGGATGGCTGACCGTTGGGGTATTGAGGGGCCTCAGGATGCCAGCCTTCTTTCTGTTGATTGCAATGTAACCAATCGTCTTTGTGGTGTTTCAAGTTGTAGAAAATCTGGAGAGCATGGGATAGAGTTACTGATGGGTAGGAACACCGCGGGGTATTGGTGGAATGCTCCATCACTGAGCCAGTGCATGAAAGAACCATCATGAAATGAATAGGTGAGCAACGTAAATAATAAATTCGAATTAGCTGCATTTCAATTCCATCACCTATCAGCGTGCGGAAGTAGCAAGACCCAATATTTACATCTGCATTGATGGAAACTTGAATGAAAAAGAGTAATGGTTGGAGGTTGTGGCTGTTTGGGCTGGTGCAGCAAGGTAGCCAGCCCCAAGTGATGATGTAGTGGTTGCTTGCAGTGAATTGGCAGTTAGGTTGGCAAGCAACCTAGCTAGACCAGCACGTACAGGAAATACTTTTGAAAGTGAAGCTCAGAAGAGCCTCTTCCAAGAGATAGGTTGTACTGGTAGACAACTGTTCAATGCTACGTACCACTTCCAAGATATACGATTTTAGCAAAAAGTGACTGAACTAAGTAAGTTTTCTCACAAACTGCCGAATCGCTAAAACACAGGCTTTACTCTGTGGTAACTTTTCGGTTGTTTGACTTTTTTACCCCCCTTGGGAATCATCAGTGCTTGGGCTATTGTGGTACTTATGAAATCGAGGTTTATGTCGGCATGCTCCGTATATTTCGTTGCAGGAGTTGATCAGGTTTTCTGGCGATTCTCTAGATCGTTTGCTTCAGTATCTCCAGTCGCTCCCTGTTGCATGCTGCAGTGTCGTGTCCCGAAGGTCTTGACAGTGCTGATGGGACTTCCAAGATATCAGGCTGTAGATTCGAACTAGTAGACTAGTACCGGTATTCCCGTGCAATGCTAGCAAGCTACTAGCTAGTAGCTAGCTAGATGTACATGTACGTGTACACTGTCCATCCACCACCGTAGTGCAGGTTGTGAGTGACAGACGAGTCGAGTGTACGACTGTACAGCTAGCTAGCCACGACTGTAGCTAGTCGAGTCAGAGTGACTCAGTCGGCTCCTACAGTACTATGCATACAGTAGTATCGCACCCCTTTTCCCTGCCACCAAAAGTCCCCCAAAGCACTGCAAATCCCGACCCTTAAAATTATCGAGCATTCCGCACCAACTCTTTGGCGAAAACGGTCTAAATGCATTGGCGAGTAAAGTTACCGATATCTTCGTCTTGGATATCAACATTTGCTTATGACGGCTCGAGTGCTTCCTTGTTCAGTACACTTCTCCACACTCGTTTGGAAATGCTTGCTTCTACAAAATTTAGAGTGAGGCGATAATTAGGAAATTTATCGAGGCTCGGCTTGCAGTCCTCGCTCCTCACTATTTTTGGCGTCCCTCTCGCGAGTTCACACGCAACTCATCGAACAAGCTACCCAAGATCGGCGACAGCACTTGGTTCCCACTGGCGTTGCAGCTGGCTATTATCTATCGTGTCGCTGCGGAAGAACAGTGTTAGTTGTTATTAGTAGAGAGCCATCTTTGACATTCATGATAACAGAGGCAACATTGACATTGGGTAGCGCAGGTATACTCTAAACCAAACCGACCCTCACTCACCATCAACCCGTAGCCTAGCCTCTTCTTGCTTGTTCCCGTAGAGCAAAGAAACACGACAACAATAACTCTCGAAGCGGCAACCGCGTTTTTTCTGTGTTTGTGGGCAAACGTCATGGGCAATTCGGCTTCAAAAGCGGAAGATGACGATGCTTCGTTGTTCGGCAAGGAGAATTCAGGCCATAAACTAGGTCTTAACGAGAGTCTAGCAAGCGGTAGCAAAGGCGCTTCCTATGAGAACGATTCCTTGACTTGTCCCGATTCCAAGTCAACACTAGGAACAGAGTTCACTGGATTACCAAAACAACCACCGCCCAATTCCCATCGAACCTCCTCTTCTGGCAACAAGAACAATAAAGACCACAGCAATATGAATGCCGCAAGCAACAAAGTTTCCTCCACTTCCAAGACACCCAGAGCCAATCACAGAGGTGGAGGAGGAGGAGATGACCCACACAATTCCTCCTTAATAACAGATGACCAAGTCCATGTCAATCTGGCCATGGCAGATCTAATGGCATATCTGCAGGTTGTGGCAAACAACAGCAATAATCTTCCCCTATCTAGGCGAGATGATCCCGAACTTGGGCGCACTGTGTCAAATTTGACATCCGATGAATACGCGAGAAAAAGTGCCGCCTTCATTCCGTCTGACGTTCGAGTTATCAGTGGGGCTTTCACGAGATATGGTAGAGTTTGGGATCTGCCCACGAGTGAAGAATTCAATGCCTGCGATGGAGCCCAAGAACCCGGTAAGTCTGATATGATATTGATAGGATTGTACCCATCCAATGAGTGGGTAGATTGAACTCCAGACTAACTAACGAACAACGCCATTATCTGTCTCTCGCAGGTCGATCCTATGGTGGGGCATGTTGCAATTCCATGCTCAAGGTGCTCTACGACTCGGCAAATGATGCCGCGGATGCAGCACAGACAAAGGAAGCATCCGATGCTCTCTTTGACGACGATGAAGACGAAGAATCCATCCTCGGCAAGTCTGTCAAATCCATGCACTCGCTAGAGTTTGCTCCTTCCAACCCAGCTACTATTTCCTGGGCTGCTCTGATGCGACGAATGAAAGCGGAAATCAGCGACATTGAACATGCACAGCATCCCACACTGACCACCACAAGAAAGTTTGATCTAAATCAACCATTCTCCATTGTCCCTGAAAATTTTGATGCCAAAGTGGGGAAGAAGCGTTCTCTTCTCATTGGCTGCAACTACACCAACATTCATGGAGCTGAACTGAAAGCCAGCCACGATGACATTGGATCCATGAAGGTAAGTTTCCACGGAACCCAGACTCCTCTTCTTCATTTTACCTTTTTAAGCGACACCCTCTCACATGTTGCGTCTTATTTATCGTTTAGGATTACATTGTTAACGTTCACGGCTTTCCAGAAGCAGAAAGCCTGATGACCATCCTTCTGGATGATGACACACACAAACATCCAACTCATCTAAATATCACGGAAGCTTTCAAAGCGCTCTCGGAGCAAAGTCAGCCTGGTGATGCAGTGTTCATCCAGTTCTCTGGTCATGGAGGTCGAGTGCTGGACTCGCCAATAGATTCAGAAGCAGAGAGCTACGATGAAGTGATCGTCCCCAGTGACTACTCAGTCAGTGGGCTGATCCGTGATACACTCATATTCAAGACACTCCTGGCTCCAATGAAGTATGGAGTGACTGTTACAATTTTGATTGATTGCTGTGACACAGGAATGGTTCTTGACCTACCCTACAGATGGAACACAAAGAATGATAGACATGATCAGCTGGCTAAGTTATCGTTGAATGACGATTTCAGCTTCGTAAGATTCCTCAAGGTCGTAAGAACACTGTACGAGAGCTCCACATTTACCCAACTGGGCAAGACAGTGGGCTCTGTCTTGAACCACAACCCAAACGCACCTCAGCCCTCCTCCAAGAATGACCAATTTGCCTCTGCCCACGACGAAGCGAACCATGAAGCCACTTCAGGCATTCCGCATCACGAACCCGCAGCAATGAAAGAACAGGATGCCCTGGCAGCATCAGCATCCAAGTCAACACACGGATCACTACTGGCATCACTTGTCTCCTGTACATCTCCAGAAACTCCAGATGACAAAGAAACAACGAAGAAGCAACGGGGATCACGAAAAGACAAGAAGAAAGGAGGAGGAGGTGAATCCGATGCCATTGTCCCCTTTGGAGGAGAAGATCAAAACGACAAAGCTCCAACCACTCAAAGTCTTCTGGAACAAATGATGGGTTCCCGAACGCCCCTTGTCGAACAACTGATCAATTGTACGCTCGCGCATGCTGAAGATGACTATTCAGATGATGAAACATACAACACCCGGACGGTCGATGGGGGCAGCTACAGTTTGGATGGTTCATCGACATTTGACACAATGACAGATGACGGTTCCCGATCAGCCCCTCAAGCTCGGCGCCAAAAGAGACGCTCTAGACGACGATAAACAACTGCAGCGCGGCAATTGGTGTCCTACGTCATTGTAAAAACACTACACTTGTTACTGGTAGTTAGAATAATGAATTCATATACATTCACCAAACAAGTAGTCTTGCAGTTATTTAGAGCACATACGGAAACTAGTTGGAATGGATTCATTTGGTGCACTGGTCGTGTATTCGGTGCGGACTTTCATCCCAAATTTCTCGTTTCGAGTGATGCGGTAGAGAATGTAGACCGATGATGGGCTACAGTACTAGATAGGCTAACGGACAAGTAGGAGGATTAAGATCATCGCGATCGTAGAGTGATTGCTTGAAACAGAGAGCGGATGGAAAGCTCTTTACAAGGTCAATGGAAACAATCATGAAAGAAGAAGAAAACCAGCCACCTATCCTATTCAAATTATTGAATTCTCATCCAAAGCTGAGTACGAATACGGTAGACAAGGCGACAACTAACGTTTCATATATCTGAATCGAATCCGCTGAAGCCGTGTGGTAGCCACAGAGCGACAGCCCAAAACGTGCGTGCATTCAATCTGATGGTGTCGTTGGATGTCTCAGCCAGACGAACACAGAAAATGCACCGTGCATCCAATCAAACTCCCTTCTCGCTTGTTCGTCCCGCATGAAGTAGTTAATTTGTAGTCCAAGCAGTGAAAGTTTCGTTTTGGTCGGTCCCGGTCGCAGCAGCGGCATCCGATGGGATGGATCCGCTAAGACTGGAGGTTGCTGATGCAGCCACCGCCATGTGCTCCTTCATACGGGGGGGCTTGAACACCCACGATGCCCGTGCCGTACCGGTAGCACTTCTGTTTCTTCCACGGGCCCCTTGCGCGCAATGAGGGAACTCAATGGATGGTATGGGTGAATCTTCGCCAAGATCTTGCCAGGTAAGGTATTAGAATTATGACTCTTCATAATTTAATTACTCAGGATATATCATCTCTTCAAAGAAGAAGAAATATTTCAAACAATTCTTAGTATATACCTATTGTAGCGCAATTTATTGTTCAGGAGACGATCATGATGAATTGGAGCTCTCTTTGTTCGACAGCCAGCAAAATGCTGTGGGAAGATCAACGTGAACGTCCCGATGCCACACCGACCTGCGGCTGTTCTTGGCCCACGGCAACCTACATGGGATTGTACTGCGGATACTGTGGTTTTCCAAAAGTGGAAGCAGCTGCTGCCACTGTTGGCGGTGATGTCATTCCGAACGATTTGTACCTCCAGACACCGCATGAATTGGTCGCTCCATCCGAAAAGATGATGATCGATGACGCTGCCGGCGAGTCAACTTGAAAACGTGGGGATATACTGCTCTCAGTGCGAAGTTTGCTGTACTTTCATTTCTTCTTCTCTTTAATGAAAATCCGATCTCACGACGAGTGCTCTGTACCACTTCGCCCTGTTTGGATCAAAACTCTGCAACGAAGTTGCCACAGGAAAGCGAGGAGCCCATGATGCGGGTTTCGAGTCTGCGAGCAGCCCCATTCCTCTCAAAAGAGCGAAACAGAACGATGACTATGCTGATAAATTTACTAACAACAGTGGTGATTTCATCCAACAACGACCGATGAGGACGACGACGATGAACAAGGACCTCGTGTTTAATCGCCTTGTGCATATTGTGCAACCATATTGCTTCCGTGCGGAAGCCTGGAGCATGCCAGCCGTCTTGGACGCAATCTGGTATCAAGGATTGCACCAACAAGGCGCTCAGCAAAGGGAGTGCTTCTGCTGCCTCGGTCCCAACTGCGAAGAGCGCTGCGAGGGTGCCTCCCTGTTCCATCCCCACAGTGATTGAGTAAGACATGAAGGAAGGACAGCAACGACTTGGCGGAGATGAAGCTCAGGAGAAAGAGAAGGACGACGAAGACAAGTAAAAACCAAAACCAGCACTTCAATTACAAGGATGAGAGGCCCTACATTTTGCATTACTTAAGTTGACAAGAAGGAAACGACGCAACAACAGAACTTACTGATCTGTAGTTTATTCGTACCAACTTCCAGCATGGACCTGCTAGCTAGGTCTAGCGACCTATTTTGGTCTCGGTTGCGCCTATTCCTCATCAGAGAGTTCTTCGCGTTTCGCGCTCACTCAGGGATTAGTCAGGTTTGGGCGGAAGCAGCCAGCAACGCAGCCACTGCATGGAGTTGACAACTCGGCTGCTACTAGAAGCCCCGAAACAGCTTCGTATTCATGAAAGTGGAGTTCCCGTACGAATGCAGCTCGAAACGAGGTCCAAATGGAGCCCGAAGCGGAGAGCACGTCCAATGGAGGTTACCAGCAAACTTTGTCGTGGCGATCGTGGCGAGGTAAACGCCATGAATACATTAGCTGGCTATTGTCCTTCATAATGGTGGCACCGTGCTTAAGAGAGGGACCCCAAGTAACTGATGGTCTTTCCCATGCACCACTTTTCAAGGATGCCAGAGATCAAGCAACGCATTCAGGTTCACAACAAGATTATGAAGAAATGATCATTGACTTTGGAGTCTTTCTCTCAAAAGAAAAGGTGCAATGAAGCTCACGCCCTTTGTTTTCGCAGTCTTTAGAAGGGACATCGCCTGTGTGGTTGAATAATAAAGTAAAGTAAAGGTGAAACAGTGGCTCAAAGTAGAGTCTTTTGAATGCATTGAGTGAAACTTGACAGCTAGTCTATGCAGAAGTCGTGATCGTATGAAGTCGTGATCTGCTTCAAGTTCCCGGAGTCCCTCCTTTGCGGTTCGGTCTGATCAAACGGTACACTCTACGATGTACAGTGTACCATACATTCAAATAGTTTAGCTGGCTAAGTCCCGACATGTACATGTACACGGGTCACTTCGGTTCAACCCAATCGATCGGAGCCTTTAGGTCTGGCCGTGGTACGCCAAAGAATTGCTTGCTTTGGAGCGTTCTTTTGAGAGAGAACTGACGAATCATGCAAGAAAGAGGCAACGAGGCATGCCTGCTATTGATTGCCTTCAAGGTTGCGACCATGATAAAGAGCCGCTATAGCAGCCCCTCCAAACTCCCCACCACTGTTATATCATGTGTTATCTCTTGATATGAATGCAGGAGGCCAAAGATTGAGAGGTTGCCAGGCTCAAATATGGGGAAAATTGAGCCGGCAGGAGCTGAGATTCAAATGAATGGCAAAATTTGATCGGCACTCGGCACTCCCTCCTCTCGGATTTTGGCTGTACACTGAGAGAGCAGACTCATCAGTCTGCTGTTCCAAATGCGCTGGTAGCATCCAACATTAATGCATTCACCATGCCCTACGAGTTCAAGGCGACCGGTGGGAGGATGTACTCTGTTTCTTGTCAGAGACCTCCCCATGATTATCTCCATCCCCTTAAAGACTTGAAGCCTTTCTTCACACGGCTGTCGAAGTGCATTGCTCACTCAATCCGCAAGGAGAGCAATGAGTATCTTGTTTGGTCCTTTGACAATAGCATGTTTCTCTCCCCTGGACAGGCGTTGGAGTTACACAATTTTCTTCAATCGCACAATGATGTCGAGACCACCTTTGTGTCCCTTGATCGACGAAGCCTGATTGTTAAGACTATTCATGGCGAGAAGCTTACAGTGGTGCTTGCCTGCACGTTCTCTAGATTCTATGTTGCGCCTCCTTCTGTACCAGAAGGAATGATGAGTGCTGTTCTTGCTGAAATGGTATCGCTTCCTTCATTCCGAGAGAACAACACGATCGACACAGCCCAACATGATACCCTTGATACCCCGCCATTTGTTGATCTATTGTCTCCAAGCAGTATGGCAAACTCAGAATTCACACTGGAATCAATGGACTGAGCAGCGTTAGAAGCAGCCAACAAGCGGTGAATATATTGAAAGGAGAGGCACTGCTACTGAGGCTCCACAAGACAAGAGCATCAATTCTTGATTGCCTATATTGCATCTGTATCTTAAGCCAATCTATAGTCGTATTGTTTTGCAGTATCTGGCTTGAGAAGCGTCTGCAACGAGCACTCTCCAAAGCAGCATTCTTTGTTGCTTGGATTGACGTTGTAGACTGTGGCAACTATTGAATTATATTGATGTAGTCTCCCGTGCAAAACCATACTATTGTTGTTTGGGAAACTACTGCATAACAACGAAACATATTCCAATTCTCGACAAGCAACTTTGCTTGATTGCCACCAGCAACAAGCGATACCACAAGACGTGCTGTTGTCGCTCCATCAAATCGAGACCTAGACAAATTCTGACTTGACTTTAAAAACGTTGCCAATCTCATCGTCTTCTCCAAAAGCTCTCCTCCAAGCAGATGGAACTCTTCCACAAACAAGGTAATTGTAGTAATCGTGCCATTCTTTCTTGACCACAGCTTGGTCTATATCAACACGAATCAGCTCCGAAGGTATCGGCAGAGAGCCCGTGAGAGAAGGATCGTGGATCGGTGCAACGTCGTGTTTTCGGGTACGGTTGGAAACTTTATACTTGCTGCCATCCTTCAACTTTCGTGGCCCGGTCTTTCGGTCATCCCGAAGTGCTGTTCTTGTTGTTTGATAGTCGCTGTTAAGACCCAGAGAGAATCGTTGAACAGTTTTCTGCACTTTCCCTTCTGTTGACACCATGCTCTTGACATGATTGCTGATCGTTTGTGCCCTTGGATGAGTTGCTTCAAAGCTTTCCTCATTAACCAACCCAATTGTTTCATGCCTCTCGGCAAAGCACGTCAAGTGTGCAATCAGGGTGTGAAGCTTGTTGAACACATTGTCTTTTCCTGGAATCATGGACGTCCACTGTTGTCCATACTCAATGGCGATCTTCTTGAGGCGATCGATTTCTTCCACCGATAACTTTGATTGTCGCTTCAGGGTAGCCGACAGCTCATGCAAGATCTTTGCAAGACAACGCCACATCTTCATCACCGCCTTCACTTCAGCCTGAAGACATGTCTCATCCCTGTGGCTGTAAGCTTGTTCCACGCGGTTGGCAATAGTTTCATACTTGGAGAGGACCTTGATACCATTGGCGTTGGTCAGCTCAAGGCCAGAGTGTTCAACATTGAACCTAACACCACCATCAACACAAAACGACTGATAAAGCAAAAAACTTGCCTCACCCTCTGGCTTTGCTCCAGAGTCCTTGATGAATTTTTGTCCCGCAGAAGAGAGCTCCACTGCCGCTTTTTCCACGGCCACCCAGGCAGCCATTCCAGACTGAATAGTATGTTGTTCTCGCTTGGCTAACAGGATAGCAGCTCGCTCCACTTGAGAAGGTACATTCGGCCACCTTTTTGCCGACTGCAGTTGCTTGTAAATGGCTCGATCTTTTTGGTGCATTTCTCGTATCATTTCTTTGATGTCAGTAGTGTTGCTTGCTTGTTTGACGGCTTCTTTCAATCCTTTGTACCAAGCAGCCTTGCGATCGATCGCTCGGAGGAGATCAAATGTTCGCCTCGTAAGATGCGTCATAATTCCCTGACAAACATGCATCGATCCAGCTGTGTTCTGTGAGGGTGGTGTTAGAAGCAAAGGTTGATTAACAACACTCTTTGCCTTATCCTTGATTTCCATTGATGCGGCCGATGAGTCCGTGGCAATTTTCGTTGCTCTGCCACCTGCCACTTCCAAGAACTTCGAGTATAGCTTGTTGTTGTTGTTATCTCCAACTCGAAGTGGAGCTGCAACGAGACCGTGTATGCATTGGTTGAACTGATTTTTGGAAGCAACGCAGATAGGACACGGGTATTTGCTTGAAGCAGTGCCTTGCCCAGACACGGCAATGTTGAGCTTCAAATCGTCTGCAGTGAATGGCCGGCAGCCATAACAACGAACCTGAACTTCCGCACCGCAAGGAACAAAGAGAGCTGACGTAAATCGGAGCCGACTGATAAGAGTCCGAGCCCCCAAACATTGATACAAAAGGATGCCCGAATATGGCGTCCCCTCTGAGAGACTTTCTTTGTCCGCGGCATTCGACAACACAAGTCGCACTGCCAAAGCACAGTTTTGAACCTTGTTCAGAGTTACCATTGTTGGCTGCCGTCGAGCTTTTGCCTGTTCGACTGAGACCGATAGTTCTCTGTAGTCAGCGTCCGGAAGCAGGCGGCAGCAAGAATCGTTAACGGTGGCCAAGCTCTTCTCATACACTGAATATCCGACAAATTCAACAGCCAAGCATTGCGCATCAACAATATCATTGTTGCGACTGGCAGAAACAACAAGCATGTAAAATTTGCCATTGAGCAGCTGTTGGAGAAAGGGTTGAACCGGTTTGGTCGACGGCATTTTGCTCTCGTAGATGGTTCTTGCCAAGTTGCCATAGGATTCTCGCCCATCTTCGTAGAAAGCAAGGGGGAAGCAAAAGTCCGGAGCATTCCCATCCAATCTATTAGCAATGCGCATCAAGCTGAGAGTCAAATTGCCTCCCTTATCACATCCTTGAACCACAAGAATCTCAGCTTTGTGTGCTGACAGCAAGTGCGATTGCTGAAACTTTTCGGCAACAAGTGCACTGCGAGTGAGACCTTCAAGGACAACAGGAGGATTAGACACCCATGCATGGACGCATGGTTTCATTTTCCCTTCTCCATTCATTTCCAATGATATCATTTCAAACGATAACTCGATGTCAAGAGTGCACTTTTCGAAATCGGAAATGCGACTCCTCAATTGCTTCGGAAAAAGGAGATTACCAAGAAACGGAGCACAGTCATGGAGGGCATTTGCAAGCCTTTCGAGGCCTCGTGTGGATGTTGGTACATGGTCTCGCAGGGCAACTGCCTGAACAATCGTCAATCCACATTCGTGAATAGGAAGGACAGCCAACCGAAACTGCCTGCCAATTCTGGTTAAAACTGAGGGCAAAATCTGCTGCAAATTGCCTCCAAATAGACGTTGAAGGAGTCCAAATACGAGAGTGGAGTGCTTGTTGAGCTTTTTGTTGGCCTGCTGACTGGAATTCTTTGTTGCTCGCACGCGAGTGTTCGGAACTTTCAAATAAGTTTGTTGGCCGTGTCGGACCGATAGACGGACATAGTCCTTGTCCTTTTGCTGGAAATGTAGTGCAGATAGTGTGTCGAATGCTTGTTGCTGCAGTTGTTGGCTTGGGCTCTTCGCAAGAATCTCATTTTCAAAGCCAAGGCTTGCAATTGGGTCCGTTTGAGTGGCCACAGATTTGGTCTGTACAAGAGTTTGCGTTTGTTTGGCAGGGGACTTGAAAAGGGCTTCCTTTCTGAAGTTTGGGGTTGTAAGTGATAGAAGGCCTCTCTTGGGAGGCGGAGAGGCAAAAGCAGGCGAGAAAGCAGGGGAGAGGACCGGCAAATTTGTCGTGTCGGCCAACGGAGCCAGTTTGCTTGGCGTCTCTACCTCCACATTCTTCTTCGATCGGCGCTTCGCCATGGTCAGAGCATAATAAAAATACGGTCATTTCATTGCATCACTATTGCCAATGCACTGGCAAGTCTTCACTCGAAAGCCGCGGCAACTTCATTGAAGAAAGCCAATCGAAAAATCGAAAATTCAACTCCTGTTGGACGAACCCAGTTGCAACCAAATCCTTCGTTGCTTCTTGCCTTCACTTCTCAACAGGCAACGTACAATACAGTAGCAATGCTTCCAGAGCAGTATCATCGTGGAATCTATTGGCTGAAGCTACTAGTATGCATCCCATGGTGGGGTGGCTTGATTTGTGTTGTCGAAACTTGTTCTTTAGCTATTATCCTGAACCCTAATGAGTCAATTTTAATCAAAAAGCGGCTCAAAATGGGCCTGATGACGGCCAGACCTTTTAAAGATTCAACGAACCGACGTGGGGTGTACACTACACATCCTGTAGTTGATCTTAGGGTTTAAGGTATTGACACCGGGGGAGGAGCACTTGCTCACATCGTAGCGTTCCTCGCTGAAGGTTTTATCTGCGAGGTTCCAGGAAATGCGTTGCTTCGTAGTTAGTCAAACAATGCACACGACATTCCAATGGTAGAAAGAATACATCGATACACAGCGTCCCTTTTGATTGATTGATATATTTAAATTCATTCCATCAACATGAGCACCCCGGTCAATGCCAGCCAGTATGTCAACATGGCTCGGGGCCTGGCGTCCTCTCCCGACGCATTGGAGGCAGGTGCGGTAGCCAAAGCCACGGCCAAAGAGATTCAAGAAGAAATCACGGGCGATGGTGCCTGGTCACTACGTGTCTTATCCTTGATAGCCGGTGGAGCCATGATGCTGGCATCCATCAGTGGATTCATGAGAAAGTTTGTCACCTTCGATTGGGATTCGGCTGCCCTGGATATCATTGTCTTTGTGGTGGGGTTGGGAGTGGTATTGGTGGAATCGGGTCTTTTGGTCAAGTTGGAATCGTGCTCATCCACCAATGCTATGATCAATAACAATGCTCCCTTTCTGAGGTATGGAGAAAGATTGGATACCCCCAAAATCTTTAATCTTCTTGAATTCACTCACGGCTCTTTTTGCTCGATGCAATGATCATTGCAGAAATCTCTACGGCCGAGGCACTATATTTATCGTGACTGGCTTTATTGAGGTATATATGCGAGGCACGTTTGATATGATTGTTGGCTTCTTTGCTATTTACGTAGGTCTCATGTACATTTGGACGGGTAGACGTGCCAAGGACAAAATGGCCGAAGTACGAAGCATGGCATGGCAAAACAACAAATTCAGCATGGAAGAGTTGCAAGAAAAGTATGCCATGGCAGATGTCGATGGAAAGGGAGGCCTCACGTTGAGTCAATTCCGACAATTCACAGCTAATCTTGGCATGAGCCTGGACAAGAAAGAATCGGAAGCAGCCTTCATGTACATCGATAAGAATCATGATAGTCGAATTGGTTACGATGAAGTCCACAGGTGGTGGTCCAAAGGACAGAACAAGAAGTAACTTGAAGAAGTGAAAGGAGTGAGGAGTCTTGTAGGCAGCCTGAAGCAGTGGCAGGATGAAGTTTTCTTGACAACCAACAATGTACCCGAGTATTGTTTTGTGTACGATTAGCACCAATGTATCTACCGGTAGCTATTTATTCCACAGACTCTTGACTAGCTATAGCTAGGAGGAATGAACTCTCTGCCCTATGGCCGTCTACAGAACTGGTACTTGCACAGGCATACCGGTAGCTGTTTACTGATCTTCGTTTGATGGACAAGCTACAGTAGAGAAAAGCTAGTGTATGTTGTTGGGTACCGGTATAGTTTGCTACTACAGTACCACTATTATATTATTTGGGGGTTACAGAGAATGTTTGCTGACTGGTCCTACCGGTAGACTCTACCATCAAAAGATGAAGATCCGAATGACGAATCCACTGCACACTCAAGAACTAGTTTCTGCCTGCAATGGGGGTGGTTCCACATCTCGTTGGACGGACTTGTGGTATCTCGAGGCCACAACAACCGAATGTTGACCCCCTCCAGCAGCGTGGTGAACAAAAACCTTCGTGTAATCCAGCCAGTCATGGGCCAGGCGTGGATGCTCGATATCCTTAACTCCAAACTTTGGATCCTTTCCGCATTGACCGTATTCACCTGAGAAACAAATGATAACGTTGGCAGAAAAAGCAGGGGAGCGTGAGCATGGTTAGTTAATGTTGCAGGGCAACACCGATGGAAAGAGCACGATCCGTACTCACCATAGCCTGATACAGAAAAGCAATGGTTACAATGGCAGATAAAAAGGTTAGAACAAGAACGGCTAGAAGATTGACGCAAAAAAGGAGAGCAAGAGCTTACCCCACGTGTACTAAAAACATTGGGAACGAATGGAGAGATCGAGTGAGCAAGGTTACAAATTGGGAAGGCGGACTCAGAGAGCATACTGAAACTACCTACCATCCCGCCACCTGTGGTGATGGCAATACTGTGCGATTCGCCCGCTGCGATATCGATGATACGCCCCAACTTGTCGAGTCTGTCGAATATGGGGAATGGAATTGCAGTAGGCGTCAATACCATACCATCTTTCTTATCCTGAGATAAATCCTTTGTATTCTCCATGTTGGGTTTTCTTTCTGCCTCCTTCCACACGCCGCACTGCTTGAAACCATTATGGCCACAGGCGTAGACGGTGTCTCCCTTTGCGTGAAGAATGAGGCTGTGCTTGTTTCCCGCAGCAACACGAGAAATGGGGACATCCTTCAAGGTCTCAACCTGATCGACATTGTGCAATCAATTAGCGTACAGATGAGAGAAGGGAGACCATGGCATTTGCACTTACCAAAGTCAGGGCATGACGAGGTTGTTCGTCGCCGTGCCCAAGTATGCCCCAAGCTCCGCTTCCAGAGGAGTACAGACGTGACGACGAATCCTGGGGTGACCGTGCCGCGACCAGAATGTGATGCTCCCCAATAGCAACATGAGTGACAGTGCGTTGGATGGTAGGTAACGTGCTCCAGAGGACTCGTTTTGGCTTGAGATAGTGCTCTTTGAGAACGTCTTGCTTGAAACCATCAGCGTCCATGTTGCATTTTTCACCTATTTCTGGGTGTCCTTCCTCATCCTTCAGGCTTGTCATATCGGCCGACCGCGCCATCTGTCCGCTCTGTCCCATACCCCATGTGACCAAAGAATCGTCCTCTAAAATTGCCGCATTAGTGCTTCCTCCAGCTGCAATGAACTTGGCTCTTCCGGGTAGTTGAAAGACGTGAACCGGTTGGTTGTGTCGTCCCAAAACACTTCCACGGTCGCTGACATCTTGATCAATTAGACAATCGGGAGGCCGCTCATCGCGCACTTGCTTGCCATCACCATTGGTGTACCTGCAAAACATTGGATTCATTCAAACAAAAAAGACAAGGCGGGGCGACGAATATGAATGAATCGAATCATCTTTGGGATGATTTGCAAACGGGCAACTTGGTTGACTTACATTCCACACGTATACACATTTCCAGAGATTGTAAGAAAGGTTGTGTGCGAACTTCCGGCATCAATTGCTATCACATCATTGCATTCATTCTCTGTGCTGCGCACGGCATGACGGGAAACTGCTAACTTGGACGGAAACAATTTGTTGACCATTGTGGGCGCCACAGGGGATTTTTCATCGTCAGAATCAATCAAACGTCCCAAGGCACCCTCATCTGGACATCCCCACGTGTAGGCAGCTCCATCTTGGGAGAGCGCTGCGGAATGCAGTCCACCAGCCGCCACTTGAATAATTTGTCCAATGTTGGCTCGCATTTTCAAGTGTGTGGGAGGAAAACCATCATCTTTTTCCTTTCCCACCCACGCCACCATTCCAAGCTGACCAGCATCGTCCTGGCCCATGACAATCACTTCTCCAGGAGTACGGTGGTACATGTCACGCACAGCTGCCAACTCCCAACGCAAAGTGACCAAGGACGACGGCGCAAAGACTGGATCAGACCCTTGGGGCAGTTGGTCAAAGGACGGCAGCATTTGGCTGCCGTCCACCAACGCCATCTTCTGCATGATCTCTGCAATGCACATTTGATGCAGCGTCTCCTTGAGCCGTATAAAATCTCTGTTCACCACACGCGTTTTGGATTTGCTACGCTTCACAATCTTTCGAGCACTGGCGCCGCTGCCTGTGCTGTTGGGCGTCCCAAGGTCGCTGTCGCCGCCATCATCATCCGTCTTGCGCTTTCGTGCAGGGGAACTCATCATGACTATTAGCTAGCTATTAGTTTGTGCAACAAAACTGTCTCCCAGCTGGCTATCCTTGGGTTGTTGTTGTTGTTGTCGTCCTCTTTCGGGGAGATGTGGCGGAGAAGCTTTTGGTGTTGCTGGATTCTAACCCTAAGATTTTTTGTAGGGCTGAAAGAAGGAAACCTCAATGTTAAGATTTCAAGGGCAATTTCGTCTCCTGGAGACGATTTGCTTTAGGGGTAATGGTACCGATGGGGGCAGAGGTTTGAATTATACCCGGCGCGCATTACTTAGAAGGCCCTGTAGAAGTCTACGTATTCGACTAATGTACCGGCAGCAAGAAAGACTACACTTTCAGTACCAGATGGTTTTATGACGGAGAAGTTGTACACACCAAGATGAAGGGTAACAGTTCCCGATTATCACAATTCTGCGACAACTGGACACACATTACAGGGATATACTGCAGTGTGGTTATTGGTACATTCTTGGCGATACTGTCAAAACTGGGCTTACGTGGTGTTATCAAGGGTGCGAACCATAAGTGGTTTGTTCTTATTGAAGAAGCTGGATTGGGATCCAAAACTTTGCCATGCCACAACGAATGAGAGACATGCTTGCAAGATTTAAGGATACTATTGGGCTTTCTGTCCTAGGAGAAGATCATTACGATGAAATGTTCCAGCGAAAAGACGGGTTCTTGTTATAAGTATAACGGTAGGGAATAGGGTAAATTAATCTGTATATAAAAACTTTTATTACTAAACTACCTTTCTGAGATTCGCATTGCACCTCGTACGTCATTCAATGTCAGTCATTGAAAAAAGATCAAGCGTCCAATCAAATCACAGGCGACCCCGAAAAATTAGGAGCAACTTTAAAATGTGAAGAACGCAAGGCGACTTTCATGTGCATGTACATGCGTTAACTGTATCCCGTCAATACAATAC